GGGAGCAGTCTCCATCACAGCCCCAGCTGCCCTTGTCCAAACCACTTTGGCAGTTCAAGGGAGACCTCCCATAATCAAAGAGTTTCCTGGTCTCCTGCAAATATCCTGCAGTGCTGGCTGAGGGACACCTCCATCATGTCACCATTTCACCTTCTGCTATGTTTCCTTATGGCCCTGCTGACGGCATTGGAGGCAATCAAGCATCTCCAGAGCTGCTTGCCTCAGTCTCCCTCCCATGCTGTTCCCAAGCTCTCACTGTGACACTAGGGAAAGGGAAAATCCTACCCTAAGGGTGCTTCATCCTTGTTTCCCTGTGCTCCCTGATCTCAGGAAGAAAAAACCTTCAGGATGCCCAGGGCCAGAGGAAAGCCCACACCTGGGGCTCTTGCGATCTGAGACACCCTGACCTTGTCTTCCACCTTGGTGCACTCACCCCCAGGCAACACAGCTGGCGAGCGAGCGACTAACAGCCTCAACCTCCTGGAGCACCCTCCGCCATGTCCCTCAGCCCCAGCACACACGGAGCCCATCACCGCAGGGCTGTGCAGCATGTCCCTGTCCCAGCAGGACACCGGTGCCCATTCCCCAGACACCCTGCCCTGCGGGGCTCAGCCAGCTCCATTGTCAGTATCAAAATACTAGTATTTTTGTTGATATCATCAACCTTGTGGCTCTCACAAGGATGCAGGTGTTGTTCTAAGCCCCATCCGAGCGCCGTGGGAGATGGAGCTGCCCCAGAACCTGCACCTGCTATTCTGTAGCTGTGCACAGGGAAGGGGAATGGACTGGGGTGTCCGTGGCTGGCACAGGGGCTGGCTCCAGGCACGTGTCCCAGACCCAGAGCACCCAGAGATGAGAGGTGGCACCAAGACAGTGGCAGTCAGGGCAATCAGGGCGTGTTTAATAATGATGCACACTGGGAAAGATGTTAGGGAGGAGGAAGGGTCTGGTGTGCTATTTGCCGGTGGGGAACAGCAGGCATGGGCATCCCAAAGGCAGCTTTTAAAGGGCCCCAACTCCACCAGTCTTGCTAGAATCAGACTGGAAGGGAGGGCTAGAGGTGGTCTCTGCTGGGACAAGTCGCAGCAAGACCCGGGGTGCGTCTGGAGGGGGAACGGGAGGGAGAACCGAGCAGGGCATCTCACCCAGAGACACGGGTCCTGCGCAGAGGCACTGCCTGCCCCTCCCACCACCAGAGCTGGGGTGGCCTCGTGGTGCAGAAATTAAATGGTGCGGAAATGAGAGACTCTCTTTTGACCCTGAGTCAGGGTGTTTTCCTTTTCAGAAAGCACAGGAAAGGTGTTAGCAAGGGAGGTGATGTAATTTCACAAATACCAGTCACCTGGGTGACTGGCAGTAACGGCTGGGCTCAAACCCCGCAGAGTGTCTGCAGCAGCCTGGCAACTTCCTTCTGGGTCTCAAAGAGTCGTTTTGAGGGCCACGGACAAAGAAATACATGTCAAAAGCAGATCAAACAGGGGTGTGTGTGTACTCTAGCCATACTTCTCCATAGCAGATTTGTCCACCTGCAGTCAGAAGAATGAGACTTTCAGGTCAGTTTTTCAGTTAGGAGTAAATAGCACATTTTGCTCTCACCAGAGCACTTCCCTGAAGCAAATGGGGCTGGGGCTCATCAGCACCGAGGACCTGAGGGGAGCCACGTGAGCCACAGGTTGCCCAGAGAGGTTGTGGAGTCTCCTTCTCTGGAGATATTCAAGACCCATCTGGACGCGGTGCTGTGCAGCCTGCTCTGGGTGACCCTGCTTCGGCAGGGATTGGACTGGGGGATGTCCAGAGGTCCCTACCAGCCCCTGCCACGCTGGGATCCTGTGATTCTGTGAGAGTAGGTGCTCCTGTGGGCCAGGCTCCCCATGGCCCTTCCAGGTCTGGCGATGCTCCGCGCTGCCCTTCTGCCCGGTCCCATGGGCGCGGGAGCTCTGCCTCCTGCCCAGCTTGCCTGACCTCCTCCCAGCGCTATCCTTCTGTTGCCCGAAAGTTTTTGCAGGGAGGATTTTGTCAACAAAACTATTAAGCCATTACCTGTGGCTTGGCTCAGGAATGTCTAGTGTAAACTGAATAAGTGCTAACTTTCTGTGCATTTTTTAGCTGAACTGTTTACAGATAACATTACCTCTCCCAGCAAAGCCTCTGTCCTGGCTCCCACCCCCGTACCCACCTTTGTCCACCAGTCCAGCCCGTGGGGGTCTGTAGAATGGCAGACGGCCTCCAGGAAAGGAGGTGCTGGGAGAAGGGGGGTTCCTGGACCCTTTCATCCGGGGCAGTGTGGAGCCCTGCAGCTCTCACTGGGTTTCAGGGAGGGGGAGAGCTACAGCAGATGGAGGAGCTCCCTTGAAACCAGAATTTCTTCGAGTCATGTGCCCAGACCCAGTGGTGCCACATGCCCCTCTGCTCGGGCACAGCGCTGTCCCACAGCTCTGCCCTGAGCTCTGCCAGGACTTTGGTGCCCAGATGAGCTGTTTGCTCAAGGCAAGTGCTGGCGAAACTGGTTCTACTGCTTTTGCATGTCCACATTTCCTCCCAAGAGGACGGCAGACATTCAGGACCCCAGGAGGTGGAAGAAGATCTCCAGCGGGTGGGGGATGTCTCCTGGCCCCGCTCATGGTCTGCAAGGTGCTCACGGCTGCTGTGCAGGGAGCGGACACATCTGCCTGTGTTGAAAGGAACCAGTGCACCACAAACACTGCTTTCACAGCGAGCAAAGCACCACCGGCTGTGGCTGCCCATGCTCTGCTCAGCGGTGTCCGCAGGGCTCTCTCACCAGCTTGGCCCCGATCTCCAATCCTCTGGGGCTGTGCCCATCTCAGGAGCAGGTCTGGTCCTCCCATCCTCGCTAGGATGAGGTCCCT